TAATCAAGATTTCTACTGACTTGTCCTGTTTTCCTGGGAGTTGCAGCTGAATTCTACAGCGATCTGCTGCTCTGATTTCATCTTCTTTTTTCAAAATCAGTTTTTGTAAACCTGAGGTCCAGTCATGGGCTACAGATTGGTTTAAGTTCTGAAAAATTAAAAAAGCTAAGATTCAACACCAGCCTACAACACTAGTCTATTTCCAAAAGGCTAGCTAAGGTGATCTCTGCATATAACAAAATTCCTGGCACCAGGGCTTCAATGAGTCCACATTCTAATCATGGATATTTTAGCGATATTTGTAAACACATTTCAAAAATATCTGTACAACTTTTGCTAACACATTTTATCTGATGACTTAATCTCAAATTGCTCAGGGTTTGATTATACACAAATGACATTCCCAAGCATTTACCAGATTAAAAAATGTAAATTTGCATCAGGTGTACCCACAAGCCTTTTACTTTATTCCAGAATTCACAAATCTTGCTTCTAAAAAATGTCTCATGAAAACATCTACAAATCATACTGACAATATGTTTTTGTTCACATCTTTGAGACAAAATATTTACAGGGCCATCATGAAAGCTGTCTGCGTGGTCTAAATATCTGTTTAGGTGCTTAAACAATGACCTACTGCAAGCTGAGTGTTCTGTCACAGAGGGTAAAAGCACACCTGAGGGACACTTTAAGCATCAAGAGTAACAAGAACACAAAAGTACATACATGTTCCAAAGGCAGAATTGTATGAAAATTTAGATGTTTTTCAAAAATAGAGAAGTTGATCTCATTCTTCCCTTGTAATTATCTTACACACCTCTACCTGAAAACACTGATTTAATTTTAAGTTTTCAAAATGCGGTTGGCTCTGACTGGCAGTACAGGCAGAAAAGTTTTGTATATGTTAATAGGTGAATGTCTTATGGTACATGTGCTATACGTAATTTCCAATTATGGAGATGAAATTCACCTTCAAATACTTGTCCAAAAACACTGTTTCCATAAACTTCCTTCAGACTACATATTTTCACAAAATGCTATGTTTTATTAAATGCCGTAACTCTGAAGCCAAGATTTCCCAAGAGAAGCTCAGCTTCTGTATATTCATACACACACATACATATTTATAACCTGTGGTAGCAGGTAAGAGTTAAAAATTGTGTGTAAGCATACATAAAATATACAAAACAGACAAAAAAGCAATTATTGTAAGTCTCAACATCAAATTTCAGAATCAGTTGTCCACAGTCTTAAGTACTATATTTTTGTGCCAGAATACAAGCTAAATCAAAGGGTTGTGAAGAAAGCCAAAGCAAAATACTTTCACAATTCCCCTAAAAATCCTTTTGTGATTTACACTTAGTTTTAAGCAGTTTTCCCCCGAAAGCCAGGATTATGAGCTTGGATGGGTATCAAGAGTTTCCTCCAAACAGCCATCCTCCTACTACCTTGTCTAACAGCAAGAATATAATTTCTTAACATAAAAATGTAATTCTGTTTCCATATAAGCTTATCAACTACTGAACAAATGCAAACACTTGTAGTATCTGCCTACACTTAAAAACAATAAAGAAAAACAAGATTAGAAGGACAGATGTAATTTATTTATAATACTAAACAGTTAACAGTAAATACATTACCAGAGGTTAAAATTATTCCACTCTTTGCAGAGAGAACTAAAGAATGTCTCACACAGACCCTAGGGAGAGACAATTATACTACTTTACAACAGGAACAGACTTTAAAAATAAATCCAGCTTTGTTTATTACCTGATAGTTTCCTTTAAGGCTGCTTATTAATTGACTAATTTGACCAAGTACATTCAAGTCATGTAAAAGGTTCTGCAGATCATGGTATAGTTGCCCTGGTCCCATATAGAGCTTGTCTAAAATGAATAAAAACATAAGGTTATACATAATAAAAAGATGCAATTCCCAGTTGAAGGAGGAAAGCATGACAAAGATAATAGTGACATATACTATGCCTGAAAATCAGAGTGGTTTATTTGTACATGTATCATCATTATTTCACTTTGCTGCTTCAGCTACTTCTAATATCCTAGCAGTGAGATGCATCTCAGGAAATTTTAGGCAGTAGTTAGTGTCACATGTTAGCTTTGTATATACAGGCCTCACCATTGGCATTTCCTTTTAGCTTACCTTACCATTGCCTTTTTACCTACAATGAAGATTCAAGCTTGTTTGTCTAGTATGACAGGGAGCATTTTGTGTAGTTTTAATACCACACACTAGATCTGCAACAAATATCAAAGCGTCATTGGCCCCAAAATTTCTCACTGACATGGAAGTTTTGTTTAGCAGCAAATAACAGACTTGCTGTAACACAATAATTTAAACAACTTTCCTGGAGGTTGTTTTTGGTTGCATGACAACACAAAAAATATATTTGTAGCTTTGCCTATGGTGGTTTAAAGCTCAAAATTTGCTTAATTTATCGTGAGACAGTTCTGAATTATATATCATATCCTAACTCTAACACAAGCCTGCAATTTCACTGAACTACTTGAAATTTTATTACAATTATGGTTAAGTCAAAAAAAGGATCTGCACTGAGATTAGCAGCAGAAATTTTTTTCTCTAATCATCAATAAGAACATAGGTTCATAAGCTAACACTAACTCAGAAAAATATACTAATTAGTAGGATAAGGTATGTATCTAAATGCACAAAGCTTGCAGAACCCTGATAATATACTCTGACTCTCAGACATGATATTAGGAGAGGCATGGCTGTGTAATTGTTATGGAAACAACACTCACTCTCCCATTAAAAAAACCCACCGTGTCCCATACAGAGTCAGCATGTTTTCCTTTGGCTGAATGACAGGAAAAGGGCTGAATTATCTTTACAGGAAACTCCTACAGATTATTTAGCTCATGCAGTGCAGTATCCGAACTATGGATCCTTCATCCTTACCATAGCTTTGGAAGCTAGTCTGTGGGCAGCAAATGCCCCTGGAGTAGAAGGATTTCAACTGTATGTTGGCAAGAACACAGTCTAAACACGGTGCTGGCTACTGGCTGTGCACATGGATCAGGAGCACAGACACAAGCTATGCCACCTGGCCTGGCTGCCAACCCACACACCACTGGCACCTCCTTCCCTCAGTCTGCTACAGGGACCAGTGTACAAACCAAAACATGTCAAACCAAGCAGAAAGCTCTCAAAATAGAGTAAATCAGAATAGACGTGGAAAATAAACACATATGAAACAATTCTACTGAAATCATTAGTATATTTGCAGCTAGGTATCAAAATAACTATTTTGTATTTCGAGACATCATACTGGCAGAGGCCATGACAGGATGTTTTTCTCTATCACAATTCACTATATTAAGCTGGGAGTCTGCCTTTAATCTTGAAAAGCATAAAATTTTCAGGCTCAAAGAAAACATTAATGGCTACTTTATTTCTGAATTCTCCACTGCACTTCAGGAAAACGCAACATAAACCTGAGATATTACACATTCTCATAAAATTTCAAATTACTGTCTTGCCTTTAAATCTTCTGGTAAATTAAATCAATGAAAGGATTTCTGTGCATTCCACTTGAGCACCAAACAGGGGAATGACTGCACTTACTATTGTTTACTCATCCAGATAATAAGATGCAACTTTCATCCACCCTTCCTTGCCTGTTCTGAATGTTAATTAAAAGAACAATCTAGCCTTTCTTTCCCTTAAAACTAAATCAGTCCATAGGAAAAGATACTTAGATTTATTGTACACAATGAAAAGAAATTACTGCAAAGTAGACCAAAGAGGAAGAATTTTGAGATTATGCTCAGTAGAGTACACTCTTCTGGAACTGCAGTCTCCCTATTTTCATTAAGCTGCATTTTCACTTTCTTCAATCCAAACACTAGAAACATCAGCAACTGAAAGATGCAAATACTTCTCTCCTTGTATCCCTCTTCTGCTAGCTTAATTTTTTCTTAATAATGTCTCCAATAACTGCAAACTAATGTCTACAGTATGCACCAGAATTGCTAGTTCCTCAACACAACAAATTGTTTATTTTGATGGGGCTACTTGCAAAGAAAGGAGCAGGTCAGTGTTAACAGAAATCTGGTGAAACCTAGACAAAAGCCATCATAATGTGTCTGGCACTGTAAAGAACACAAGTGAAATAATTCTTGCTCCAAACTTCTGTAACAAAAAAGATAACTTTGGCAAAACAAAATTTATACTGATTAGAAATAATTGTTATTAAGTTTCTGGCATAAGTCCAGTCACATACCTGTAATTTATAAACTCCACTACCAAACAAAACAAACAGCTGCACTGAAAAAGATGCACTACAAATATTTCGGAAATTTCACCTTTTGGGTTTTAACCAAGAGAAAACTTACAATTATCAGGCTGCAAAAAGCTGATAGTTTGTGAGGTTTCACTTGTATAGGATGGATATTTTTACTCAAGTGAATTAAATTATTCTTAAATTTTAAAAGCCAGGATCACTCTTTGATACCTGATAAAGACAGTTACCAGATATTTTGTTTTATTATTAATGTCTGGAGAATAGACATTAATGCAACATATAACATGCGCCACTCAGGCGACTCTTAGATATTGGAGGACTTTATGCCATAGTCTTCAACTGAGGCCATAAAGCCAGCTTTGACTGCTTACAATGATGAACATGCCCTGTGCAGTATATACATCTACTGTGCCTGAAAAGAGCTGTCCTCTGTAATCCTCTTCTTGGAACTTCAAATAATCTTACAAATATCCCTGTTGCAGCCTTGGGAATAAGGCATAAATCTTGAATTTCATTCAGCAATTGTCATATGAGTCTATTTTTTCTGCATCATGCATATTTTATAAGCTATTAAAAAATCAAGATAAAAAGGATGCAATAAGAATGTCAAAGCAAATAAACTAACCTGGCATCTGAAAGTCTGTCACACAGAAAAAAACAAATGAAAGTAATTTCAGGCTTATTTATTAAAGACCACATTCTTAGCTCAGGAAAGGAAGCCAAAAAAGCAAAACAATAAATAATTAATAAGAGCCTGCTCCCATCCTCTGATGTTCTAGAAAAGGCAAACAGCCAATTTAATTGTAAGGACTACATCAATAGTCACAACTAATATCAGTCCTTCATGGAGGTCCTTAGTGGGCACAAATTGAAACATAAAAAAGGAAGTGGCCTTCAGACATCAACAACGGTGGACTTATCAGAAGAGAGTTCTCTCAGAACTGACCACTTGGATTGTGTCTGGATAATGAGTTACAAGCTATAGCAACTTCATTTCCATACTGGGTCCTGTAAGACTTACTCACAACGTCTTTTAAAATAGAATTAGTTTCTCAGTGGTTAACAAAACGTTGCCTACCAGTTGATCTGGCTGAAAATCATCTGACGGAGGGTTTTTCTAGTGTGGAGGCGGTGGGGGAGCACACTACTCTGTTCATCAGATGTGTTTTTCAGCTCACAGCCAAAGACTGTCTGTTACAGCCCACACATGTTCCCTGACCATTCAATTGCTGGCTATTTTGGGGTGGGTGTTCACTCCTTCTTTTATCCATAGAGAGCACTGAAAAACTCTTGGCTACACTCCAAAGCAGATACGTGGTTGGTTTCTTTTGTACTGTGAAATGTTTCACCAGTGACAAAGCCACTTCCTTCTCATTTCTAAGCCACTCTTGCTAGTTATCAAGCTCCAAAACAACTTATTTTTCCAATGTGAAAAAAACCCTTCATGAATTTGGAGAATGTTCTTCCTTATTCTATACATTCTATGTGTTCCAGAAGACATTGTGCCTGGGCAGGAGAGAAGGCAGCATGCTGTAACCAATAACCATATATGTGGCTTTGAAGGCAACGTTTTTTGCATTCCACCTACAGATCAAGGGTGAAATCTTGGCCACATGTAATTTGGCAAGAATTTGTTTCATCAACTCCTTTGTTGCTAAGATTTTACCAGAGGAATTCATGCCTCCCTGCAACAGGCAAGTTTACTGCCAACAACCAGTAATTCATGCCATGAATTACTAATTCCTTGCTCAGCATTTAAATGAAATATACCCAAGGTTAAAAAAGAAAAAAACCTGCCACTTGCTTTAGAGGGAAGAAAGGAGGTTAAAGTTTAAATCCATTTTTGCTGCTATGTAAAACTGGGGTGGAAAGATTCTGCTTTTTGTAAAATCAATCTTAGCTGAGATACATATGAATATAATACTAAACATTTATTTTACTTTACACAGTTCCCAGTGTTACTCTCAGCACCACAGCTTTAAATTAATCAATTTTGCCTGGTTTGATGTAATTTTTGTAATTGAAGCAATTTTACTACATTTACATCCAGGCATTTTCAAGGCCTGCAGGAAACTCCCTGGGTGTGGTTGAAGTCAGTTTAACTTGGCTCAGGCAAAAGTAGAATTTGGAAGGTTGTGCAGAAATATACACATGCAAGAGAAGTGATT